CTATCTATCTATCTATCTATCTGACTGTCTGATCTATCTATCTATCTATCTGTCTATCTGACTGTCTGTCATCCTCACACAGCCCCCTCTCCCACCCGGCCAATCCAGTTAAATCTACCTGGCAGGACATCTTTTAGCATATTACTTAATCTACTGGTCTCCAGATCTCTCATTCTGGGTGAATGTCTGGCCCCAGATTTCCATGGTGCCCAGAGCACCAACCCGGCTCATCACCGTGTCTTGGTTTTATGTGTTCTTTTGGGGTTTTTGTTGTTATTTCTGGCTTCTCCTTCCCTCGTCTTTAGTCCCCTCTGTTACCTGACCCACCTCATCGTCCATCATCCACTGAAGGGGAGTAGAAATGTTGGTTCCTGACGGGGGCCTTGTGCACGGGTCTCAGTGTCGTCAGTCCCGTGGGCTCAGCTGGGGTCTTCTAATAAGTGTCCACACCTGATGCCCAAGCATTAAGAGCTGGATATAACGTGTGTTTCTTTACCCTCACTCCTGTTTTTTCTGTTTATTTAAACACAGCATCCTGTTGCCTTGATGTGCTCTGAAAATATCACCCACCCGCCACTGAAAAGAACCTCTCGAGTCCTTCTCCCTCACAGTGAGTAAACCACTCCGTTTATTTACAGCCTGGGCGACTATCCTGTGTGAGAAATAAAGAACTGACTCCAGGAGAGGCAGTTCCCTGCACTGGCATGCTGAGCCAAGTCCTCGCCAACGGCTGGAAGAGACCTCAGGAGTCATCAAATCCAGCCCCCTGCCCAAGGCAGGACCAATCCCAACTAAATCAATCCAGCCAGGGCTCTCTCAAGCTGAGAAACACCTCTAGGGATGGAGATTCCACCACCTCCCTAGGGAACCTATTCCAGTGCTTCCCCACCCTCCTAGTGAAAGTTTTTCCTAATATCCAAACTAGACCTCCCCCACTGTAACTTGAGACCATTGCTCCTTGTTCTGCCATCTGCCCCCATTGAGAACAGCCTCTCTCCATTTTTTTTGGAACCTCCCTTCAGGAAGTTGAAGACTGCTCTCAAATCCCCTCTCACTCTTCGCTTCTGCAGACTAAACAGACCCAACTCCCTCAGCCTTTCCTCATAAGTCATATGCTCCAGCCCCCTAATCATTTTGGTTGCCCTCCGCTGGACCCTCTCCAATGCGTCCACATCCTTTTTGTAATGGGGGGCCCAGAACTGGACACAATACTCCAGATGTGGCCTCACCAAAGCCAAATAAAGGGGAGTGTCGGTTCCCCCAAGACACTCTTCTAGGAGGCAGATAAATTCCCACCTCTCCTCCATGTCTCTTGTTCCCCATTCGAGAAGCATCCCGTGCCACGCACTGTCCATAGCGCACCAGCAGGGTTTGCTTTGGTTGAGTGATATAATTTGCTCTCTGTGAATAATTTATGGAGATACACCTATACCTATTTCATAGGGTATGTCTACACGGCAAAGTTATTTTGAAATAACTTTCCTAGCGTCTATACAAGCCAATCGCTATTTCGAAATAAATTCTAAAAAAAGGAGGGCTTATTTCAAAATTGGTAAACCTCATTCCATGAGGAATAGCGCCAATTTTGAAATTGCTATTTCAAAATAAGTGTTGTGTAGATGTTTATTTTGAAATAGGGGGCCTCCAGCCCTTCCCAGGTGCCCTGCTGGCTGCCCTGGCCACAAGCTAACTTCTGACCGGATGCCCTGCCGGAACCTGTTCTAGCCGGCCTTAAATGTGATTCAGCATCCAATCAGTGTGGACGCACCCACTATTTTGAAATGCATTTTGTGTATAGACACGTTATTTCGAAATGAGATATTTTGAGATAACACTGTAGTGTAGACACACCCATACAGAGCTGAAAAGGATCTTGAAAGGACATTGAGTCCAATCCCCTGCCCTCACAGCAGAACTACGTACCATCCTTGGCAGATTCGCCCCAGCTCCCGAAATGGTCCCCTGAAGGATAGGGACCAGTACTGAAGCAGGCCAATACTCAAACCACTGAGCTACCTTCATGTGCATCTCTGTCATGCCCCCTCGATGTGCATGTGTTTGTGTGTGAGTGTGTGTAAAACCCAGGAAAAGGTTCCTGCGATTACGGCAGAGTTTCAGGGATCGGGAGAGCTCAGTTTTCAAACAGAGAGAAAACAACTAGCACCGTTGCTTTTACGCCCCCTATTGCTGGCATACACTGACGTGGCCCCATTGGAGTCAATGTATCCGATTCTGACCCACTGTGAATCCGCTGCAGTTCCATTGGGGCCAAAATACAACGTCCATACAGCGCCAGCTGTGAACCCCTATTGGGGGCTCCACCCCGTCACACGTGTCTATGCCGAACTGCAGCAAGATTTGGACAGATGCCCCCCAGCAGAAAGGAAATCAGTGTCCAATGTGTGATTCACCTCCACACGTGTGGGTTTGACTCCCGTGTCTCTCTGTTACCCCTGCAGATGAACAATTCTGAGAGCCACCCTGGCGAGAACCAGACCATCTCCCCTGGGTTCATCCTGGTGGGGTTTTCCTACCTCAACGAGCTGCAAATCCTTCTCTTTCTCCTTCTGCTGCTCATCTACCTCCTCACCCTGATGGGGAACCTGCTCGTTATCCTCCTGATAAAGCTGAACCCCTCCCTCCACACCCCCATGTATTTCTTCCTGGTCAACTTGTCCTTCTTGGAAATGTGCTTCACCTCCAGCGTGGTCCCGCAGTTGCTGGTTCACCTGCTGGTGGAGGAAAAGACCATCTCCCTTGTGGGCTGTGCAGCCCAGATGTACGTCTACAGTATCATGGGCCTCACAGAATGCTGCCTTCTCGCGGCCATGGCCTACGACCGCTACGTGGCCATCTGCCACCCCCTGCACTACACCACCATCATGAGCGGCCGGGTGTGTGCAGAGCTCGCGGGGGCGTCATGGCTCATCAGCATCACGGTGGAGATTGTTCCAACGGTCTGGATCTTCAGCCTGCCTTTTTGTGGCTCCTACTGCATCCACCACTTCTTCTGCGACATCCCCCCCGTGCTGAAGATGGTCTGCGCCGACACATCGAACATTAGGATTGTGGGGTTCATTGTGACAGGGCTGTTTGTCATTAACCCTTTCCTGTTGATACTCCTGTCCTACGTCCGCATTATCTCCACCATCCTCAAGCTGCCATCGGCAGAGGGGAGGCGTAAAGCCTTCTCCACCTGCTCCTCTCACCTCACAGTGGTGACTTTTTTCTATGGAACGGCCCTGATCACCTACCTCGTGCCCAAGTCTGATTCCACCAAGGAGAGTGATCAAATGATTTCTCTTATGAACACCATTGTGGCACCCCTGTTGAACCCCCTAATATACACACTGAGGAACAAAGAGGTGAAGGGAGCCATGAGAAAAGCAGTGGTGAAGAGTATCTTTGCACACAGCCGGAGAAATTAGAGAATGGAAAGTTGAGTGAATCAAAATGGGCAAGGGGGTGGGGGGAGGGGATTAAGGAAAATTCATATTTTCTTATATATCTCACAATGACTCTCGATATGTTTACTCAAATTTTGTCATTTTGTTTTGTTCTCAACTTGCCGGGATAATGAAAAGAGACATGGTTGTTATGAAAAACAACCTCCAAATTTTAAATGTCTTAATTTTCCATCATGTATAATAGTTGGGAAATTTTTACTTTAAAAAAAAAATCACTGAAAAATTGAAGAAGAAGATTTAGTCGATGGAGTGTCCCGAACGTCAAAATATGAAAAGAACCTTAAAAAGGGAAACGTTGCCTTCCTGGCACACAGTCACCAACCATGTCTGTGACAGGACGGAATATGTGGAGCTCTTGTTCTTTTTAACACCCCCCAGGTGGAACAGCCCTGCCACTGACCTGGGCACCGATGCCATGTGGGGTGTTGACGGGGAGAGGTGGGGATGGGGGGTCCCAAAATTGAGGTTTTCATGGGCTGCAGCAGGAGGTGAGAAAAAGTTTGTTGTTACCATCAGCCCCACCAGCCTCTCAGTTTGCTGTCAGAGAAACACAAACATCTGCTCTACTTCCTGCTCCTACCCCTGGGCTGGTCTCGTCTGCCTTTGTCCCCCTCCAGCTGGTCTCCAAGGGGAGCCCCTGCCAGGCCTGCTGACAGTTGGAGCAAAAGGGGCAATTTCCCAGGGCCCGGATGCTTTTAAATGGCTCCCAAAAGCCATTGCTGCTGGCAGCAGGGTGTGTGGAGCGTGTGGGCCGTGTGCTCCACAGGCCCGTTCCACTCCACAGTGGGGAGCTGCCAAGGGCCCTTCCCACATGGGGCCCCCAACAGAGGGAATTTCACAGCAGGGCGGGGCTTGCCTAGGGAGGAGGGACTTCCTGTCCAGCTGCACCTTGGGCAGCGGAGTTCACCACTGGGACCAGAATGGCCAGAGTGGGGCATTGTGGGACAGCTCCTGGAGGCCCATCACAGTCGGCATCTGTGTCCACATGGATAATATCAACTGACCCGCTGTGCCACTCAGGGAATGGGTGTTCTCAGATCGGTGTGGCTGGGCATGTATGTGAAGACACATTCTTTCTGTGTGAAATCTTATTGAGTAAAACCAAAATGGGTTATGCTTAAATTTGGGGGGGGGGAGGAGTGATTTAGCTTCGCACTGTACACTCCCAAGCACCACTCCCATAATTTGATACCCACATAATCTCCCTCATCTCTGCTTTATTCAATAATTTAGTAAAGATGAGTCATTCCTACAGTCATAATCAAAGCAACAATCCCTGGCCTGATGGGGTGTGTCTAGACTACAGGGTTTTGTCGACAAAAGTGGACTTTTATTGACAAAACTATACCTGCGTCCACACTGCCTTTGAGTTATGTCGACATAACGTCGACAAAACTCAGCAGTTTTGTCGATGTATGTAAACCTCATTCTACGAGGAATAACGCCTTTTATCTACAGAGTTCTGTCGATAGAAAGCATTATTGCATCTACACTGTCCTTTGTGTCCGCACTGTTATGTCGACAAAGCGGCTTGCTTTGTCGACAGAACTGGATGTAGTCTAGACGCTCTTTGTCGACAGAAGCTTTGTCGACAGTATCTGTCGACAACATTTCTGTCGACAAAACCCTGTAGTCTAGACACACCCTTAATGAGTATAGACACGTACTGTGGTAAAAATGCCTGGCTTATAAAACCCGATCTCCCCAACTCCGAACAGGGTCTCCCGGTCTCAAAGGCCTAGCCACAGTCCCAGGTCAATTTATTCCTCAGGACAATTTCTGGCCCAAAGAACATGCTGGGCCAGTTCTTAAGCATCTAAAAGCGTATAAAGAAGAGAAAAAATGAAAGAAAAGCTTGAGAGTAAAATTGTTAATGGAAACCAAGTGACGCACCCCAGTCACCAAGTTCCTGGTGCAAGCAGAGGGGGAATGACTAGCTATCCTAAAAGTCTGTTGAGGGCATCCCAGGTTAGTCTGTGGAGGGCATCCCAAATTTTTTTTGGAAGAGCAGATGCATTATCTAGACGTTGCAGTTTTTCTGGGATACTTCCGGGATCCCGGAAAAACTCCATGGTATACACAGACAGACAGACAGAACTCCTGTACTTTCCAGGACACAAGAATCAAATCATCAACTTGAAAAAAGTGATTTTTATTGACAAAACAAAAGATAAACTTGAGAAAGCAATCTCGGTGGCTAGATGTTACAGTGCAAGTAAGGAAAACAAATTAAAACACAGAGAAAAATCTCTGGGGACAATTCTTAGGTGATGAATGGGGGAAGGGAGGCACGGATTCACACAGAGCAGTTCATACCAAAACATAACAATAAAGACAAATACCCTGAGTGTGACTGGATACTCGTTTCCCCTTAATTTACTCATGATCCCATCTGAGTTCAGTCTACTTCCATACCCCGAATTCCTGCATGGATTTAAATGATCCTTTGTCTCTCAACTCCTGGCTTAACTCTTCCAACACAGGAAAAAAACAGGGAAGATATCTTACACAATTCAAATTTCACTCCTCTTTCTTGATTGCCTCCTTGCCAGCACTCTTGCTAGCTATCTGAGTTTCACTCCTGAGTGACTGAGTACGGGCTAGCACTCCTCTTGTCAGTCACAAGAACCACCTGGAATTTTTGTAGTATTAAACTTCTGGTGGCAATTGGAAAAATTGCCCACAGGGAGGTGTACGTTTTAGGAAAGCGTTCTCATTTTTAGCTTTTTTTTTTCCTGTGACTTTTCAAGTTTTTTTCCTCTAGATAGCAGATTTGAATATGCAGTGCACCATAGATCTGGTCAAAAGGTGCAAAAACTTGCATATTTTGTGAAACATTTATGTTATTTGTGTGTATATTTATTTTTCTTATATTTCTCTTCCAATTCTCCTGACAGTTGTAGATCAAGTCACATTTTATTCAACTAGCAAAGTAGCATTTAAAAAAACAAGGACCTTCTGCCAAAGTTGAACAAAATGCCTGTAACTTTCCCTCTCTCCCACCCTTTTGACTTAATCTATTTTTAATGTGTCGAGTTACAACACTTCTATGCAACGGAGACCTTTCCTAATGTTTTGGTCAGGGCCCCCTTCACCTCTTTGTTCCTCAGCGTGTATATTACAGGGTTCAATGCTGGTGGCACAATTATGTTCATGAGGGTAATTATTTGATTGCTCTCTGAGGTGGAGCTAGACTTGACCCCCAGGTAGGTGATGAGGGCCAGCCCATAGAACAAAGTCACCACCATGAGGTGCGAGGAGCAGGTGGAGAAGGCCTTACGTTTCCCCTCCGCGGATGGCACCTGGAGAACGGTGGAGAGAATGCGGATGTAGGACAGGATTGTCAATAGAAAAGGGCCCATGATGAATAGAACACACACAGTCAAGACCATGATCTCGTGTTTTGATGTGTCGGCGCAGGCCATCTTCAGCACGGGGGGGATGTCGCAGAAGAAATGATGGATGCGGTGGGAGCTACAGAAGGGAAGGCTCAAGACCCACGTGGACGGAGAAAGTGCCATTGCGATGCCTAAGAACCACGAAGCCCCCGCAAGTTGTACGCACACCCGACCACTCATAATGGTCATGTAGTGCAAAGGGTGGCAGATGGCCACGTAGCGGTCGTAGGCCATTGCCGCGAGAACAAAGCATTCTGTGAGGCCTGTGATGGTGTAGGCGTACATTTGGGCTGCACAGCCCACAAAGGAGATGGTCTTTTCCTCCACCAGGAGGTGAACCAGAAGCTGAGGGACCACGCTGGTGGTGCAGCACATTTCCACGAAGGACAGGTTGACCAGGAAGAAATACATGGGGGTGTGGAGGGAGGGATTCAGCTTTATCAGGAGGATAACGAGCAGGTTCCCCATTAGGATGAGGAGGTAGATGAGCAGCAGAAGGAGAAACAGAAGGATTTGCAGTTTGTTGAGGTAGGAAAACCCCACCAGGATGAACCCGCTAGAGATGGTCTGGTTCTCGCCAGGGTCTCCGTTGGAATAGATCATCAGTCGGGGTGACAACGAACGATATGCCGGAGATGACTCTGAGCCCTGCTAAACACATGCAAGTGAATCCCACAATTCGTACAGTCTCTTGGGAGCCTTGACTTTCAACCTGGCTGTAATTCAGTTTATAAATGTGTACCTGGGCTCCATCACCAGCAGGAGGGAACAGCAGGGCTTGGGTGGGAGGCCAAGGAAGCCGTGCCCACAGAGATCAGCCATTAATATACAGGAAAACACGAAAGCCATGAAGGACGCACACAGTCTGTGGAGAGAGGGAGGGCGGGTAAATTCAGTGACAAGAGACCAGCACTTAACTCTTGGGCATTAGGTGCAGAGCGTTTGCTGTCGGGGTGTTGATCCTAGGAGTGGATTCTGTTATTAGAAGAGATCACACACAGGCAGCTTTTGAGAGGAGCCTTTAACTACCTGACAGGGGGATGCTCAGTGGGGGCAGAGGGCAGAACGAGGAGCAATGGGCTCAAGTTACAATGGGGGAGGTCTAGGTTGGAGATTAAAAATGTAAAAACTGCCAGACTGGGTCAGACCAAAGGTCCATCCAGGCCAGTTCCCTGTCTGCCGACAGTGGCCAATGCCAGGTACCCCAAATAGAGTGAACCAAGTGGTAATGATCAAGCGATCCCTCTCCTGCCATCCATCTCCATGCTCTGACAAACAGAGGCCGGGGACACCATTCCTTACCCATCCTGAATAATAGCCATGCATGGACCTAACCTCCATGAATTTGTCCAGCTGTTTTTTGAACCCTGTAATAGTTCTTCCCAACTCCTCAGGCAAGGAGTTCCACAGGTTGACTGTGTGCCGTGTGAAGAAGACCTTCCTTTGGTTTGTTTTAAACCTGCTGCCCATCACTTGCAGCCCCCTAGTTCTTATATTGTGGGAACAAGTAAATAACTTTTCCTTATTCACTTTTTCCACACCAGTCACGACTTTATACACCTCTATCAAATCCCCCTTTGTCTCCTCATTTCTAAGCTCTCTTCATATGGGACCCGTTCCAAACCCTAATCATTTCAGTGGCCCTTTTCTGAACTTTTTCTAATGACAAGATATCTTTTTTGAGATGAGACCACATCTGTACGCAGTATTCAAGATGTGGGCGTCCCATGGTTTTATATAAAGGCAATGTCTGTCTTATTCTCTATACCTTTTTCAGTGATTCCTAACATCCTGTTTTCTTTTTTGACTGCCACTGCACACTGAGTGGATGTAACTATCCACGATGACTCCAAGATCTCTTTCCTGATTAGTTGTAGCTAAATTAGACTCCATCATACTGTACATATAGTTGGGGTTATTTTTCCAATGTGCATTACTTTACGTTTATCCACATTCAATTTCATTTGCCATGTTGTTGCCCAATCACTTAGTTCGGTGAGATCTTTTCAACGTTCTCCACTGTCTGCTTTGGTCGTAACTGTCTTGAGTAGTGTAGTGTTGTCTGCAAACTTTGCCACCTCACTGTTTACCCCTTTCTCCAGCACATTTATGAATAAGGTGAGTAGAATTGGTCCTAGGACTGACCCTTTTGGAACACCACTAGTTACCCATCTCCATTCTGAAATTTTACCATTTATTCCTACCTTTTGTTTCCTGTCTTTTAACCAGTTCTCAATCCATGAAAGGACTTTCCCTCTTATCCCATGACATTGTAATTTATGTAAGAGGTTTTGGCGAAGGAGCTTGTCAAAGGCTCACTGGAAATCTAAGTACGCTACATCCACTGTATCATCCTTGTCCACATGTTTGTTGACCTCTTCAATGAACTCAGATTACTAAGACATTATTTCCCTCTACAGAAACGACGCTGACTTTTGCCCATCAAGTTACATTCTTCTATGTGTCTGACAATTTTATTTTTTACTGTTGTTTCAGCTAATTTGCCTGGTGCTGAAGTTAGACTTACCGGTCTGTAAGTGCCAGGATTGCCTTTAGAGCCCTTTTTAAATATTGGCATTACATGAGCTTACAAGAAGCTAACAAGAAGGAAGCTGACAAGAAGTGGAAACTTGTACAGATGATGCGGGAGGAGTATAAATATATTGCTTGAGAATGCAGGAGCGTTATCAGGAAGGTGAAAGCGCAATTGGAATTGCAGCTAGCCAGGGATGTGAAGGGGAACAAGAAAGGTTTCTACAGGCCTGTTAGCAATAAGAGGGTGATCAGAGAGGGTGTGGGGCCCTTACTGGATGAGGGAGGTAACCTAATGACAGATGATGTGGGAAAAGCTGACGTACTCAATGCTTTCTTTGTCTCTGTCTTCACAGACAAGGTCAGCTCCCAGACTAATGCACTTGGTAACGCAATAGGGGAAGGAGCTGGACAGCCCTTGGTGGGGAAAGAATAAGTTAGAAACTATTTAGAAAAGCTAAACACACAAATCCATGGGCCCAGATTTAATGCATCCGAGAGTACTCAGGGAGTTGGCAAATGTCATTGCGGAGCCTTTAGCTATTATCTTTGACAAAGTCGTGGAGATCGGGAGAGATCCCAGATGACTGGAAAAAGGCAAATGTAGTGACCATCTTTAAAAAAGGGAAGAAGGACAATCCAAGGAACTTCAGACCAGTCAGCCTCACCTCAGTCCCCGGAAAAATCATGGAGGGGATCCTCAAGGAATCCATTTTGAAGCATTTGGAAGAGGGGAAAGTGATCAGGAATAGTCAACATGGATTCACGAAAGGCAAGTCCTGCCTGACAAATCTGATTAGCTTCTATGATGAGGTAATTGGCTCTGTGGACATGGGAAAGTCAATAGATGTGATCTACCTTGACTTTAGCAAAGCTTTTGATACGGTCTCCCACAATATTCTTGCCAGCAAGTTAAGGAAGTATGGGTTGGACAAATGGACTGTAAGATGGATAGAAAGCTGGCTAGACAGTCGGGCCCAACGGCTAGTGATCAATGGCTTGATATCAGGTTGGTGGTCAGTTTCTAGTGGAGTACCCCAAGGGTCCGTTCTAAAACCAATTTTGTTCAACATCTTTATTAATGACCTGGATCAGAGGATGGGTTACACCCTCAGCAAGTTTGCAGATGATACTAAGCTATGGGAGATGTAGGTATGCTGGAGGGCAGTAGAGGGTCCAAAGTGACCTAGACAAATTGGAGGATTGGGCCAAAAGAAATCTTAAGAGGTTCAACAAGGACAAGTGCAGAGTCCTGCCCTTGGGACGGAAGAATCCCAAGCATTGTTACAGGCTGGGGACCGACTGGCTAAGTAGAGCACGTGACCTATGAGGAGAGGCTGAGGGATTTGGGTTTTTTCAGAACCCTTGGGTGAATGCCATCTGGTCCTGGTGACTTGTTACTGTGAAGTTTATCAGTTTCTTCCAAAGGCTCCTTGGATGACACCTCAATCCGGGGCAGTTCCTCAGATTTGTCACCTACAAAGTACGGCTCAGGTTTGGGACTCTCCCTCATCCTCCGCTGTGAAGCATGAAGCAAAGAAATCATTTAGTTTCTCCACAGGGACCTTATCGTCTCTGAGTGCTCCTTTAGCATCTCAACGGTCCAGAGGTCCCACTGGCTCTTTAGCCGGCTTCCTGCTTCTGATGTACTTAAAAAACATTTTGCTCTTACTCGTTGAATTTTTGGCTCGCTGCTCTTCCAACTCTTTTTTGACTTTTCTTATTACATTTTTGCACTTAATTTGGCAGAGTTTATGCTCTTTTCTGTTTTCCTCACTAGGATTGGACTTCCACTTTTTAAAAGATGCCTTTTTATCTCTCACTGCTTCTTTGAGATGGTTGTTAAGCCACAGTAGATCTCTCACTGCTTCTTTGAGATGGTTGTTAAGCTACAGTAGCTCTTTTTTACATCTTTTACTGTGTTTTTAAATTTCGGGCATACATTTAAGTTGGGCCTCTATTATTCTTAGGAAAACTATGTCTGTAGGTGGATGGGGAAGCACTGGGATGGGTTTCATAGGGAGGGGCTGGAATCTCCATCCCTAAAGGTTTTGAAGTCCCGGCTTGACCAAGTCCTGGCTGGGTTGATTGAGTTGGGGTTGGTCCTGCCTTGGGCAGGGGTAGGACTCGATGCTTCCTGAGGTCTCTGCCTGCCTTGGGATTCTAGGATTCTAACCAAGGCCCACCTCAGAAAAAAACATGAACCCTCAGATTCAAAGGGGGGGTGATGAGGCTTGGAGAACAGAGGGGAGTGAAGATGAGAGAAGGGAGAGGCAAAAAACAACACCAGCAACACAAGACCAAAACCAGCAAAACATCTGGACGTGGTGTTGATCGTGTTTGGTCCTCATCTGTCTCTCTTATGGGCATTATGGAAATCTAGGACCCCCACTTCCCCTGGTGCAAGTTATCACGACCCCCATGAAGCTAGGCTCTTACAGGGACCCAGGAGAAACCGAGTTGAATTGAGAAGGACAGATAATAGAGACCAAGAACTGGTGTATGAACAGACGGGCCAGCCTCCCCTCCCCCCCCTCTTGGACACACATGGAGGCTCTCAACGCCAGTGAAGAACATCGAAAGGAACAAGGGCTGCGAGTTCGCTTCGGTTGCAGACAAGGACACGACGCCTATGGGGATCTTTGGGAGAACGGCCGGGGGCTTCGGTCAACCCTACATAACCTACCTCGTTGGAGCAGAGCGGGTGGACGTGCTGAGGGAACAGGGGGTTTTGTTTCCTTCCCTGGCCTCTGGGAGCTAGTCCCCGAAGGAAATCACCTGTCCCAGTCCTGTCTGGAACGGTAGCAAAACAACAGTCCCTGGGCCAGTTACTGAATAGCAAATTGCACCATCGCCACCTTGTGTATTTTCCGAGGAAAATCACCCTGGGATTTGCTAAGGTTGGCAACTTGAGTGACATGGCTTTGTCTGGCAGGAGGATGCTCTGTTGCAGGCAACACAGCACAGAGAAAGAGGCGGGGCAGGGGCGATTCCGGGGGCTTGTGGCTGAAGATCCAGGACACTCAGGCCCCACTCTTGTCTCAGAGACACAATGTAATCTGAGGTGCTCTGAGTCCCAGCCCCACCTGCTCTAACCATTACGCCCCACTGCCAGAGCTGGGCACAGACCCCAGGAGCCCTCACTGCCAGCCCCCCTACCCACAGGGCCCATTTCCCTTCTCTAGGGCCAGCCCCATAGCGCAGTCAGTTTGCAGCGGGACCAGAATCAGGGCGAGCTCCCAGGGAGTTAGAACAAACTCGGTGTGGGAGCACAAGGGCAGGGGGCGGGTACAGTGGGGAGCTGCTTAAGTTGCTCAGTTTGGGGCATATACCCTCCTAGTCAGTACAGCTGGAAGTGCCCCAGCCTGGCACTAGGGGGCGCTGAGGAGCTGGGCTGGGTGTGCTCTGTACGACAGTCTCAGGCAGGTAGATCCCATTGTCCTAGCCTGGCACTAAGGGGCGCTGAGCGACAGGACTGGGCTGGGACGGCTCTGTAGGCCAGTCTCAGGCAGAGGTATCCCATTGCCCCAGCTCAGCAGCAGGGGGTGCTGCATAGATGGGAACAGGGCATGTGGCTCATTTTCCTCGAGGGGGCAATGCTGACCCCAGAGCCCCAGCCCAGCCCCAAAGGGTGACACGCTGCACAGACCTGGAGCTGTCACTGGGGTGGGGGGCGCTGTTCTCTCTGGGTCCAGGCTGACAGGGTCCCCTATGGCCCCTCTGCCACAAGTAGCTGAATGTGGCCTTGGCAGTGGGCCTGACTGGCTCTCAGGGGTCCTGGGCTATAAGGGGTGCTGTCCCCTAGGCCTGGCTGCTGACCCATAGTGACCCACCACAGAGGACAGGGAACTGTGTCGGGTGGGAGTCACTAAGTACTGGGGTATAGCAGGGCAGTGGGGATGTAGGTTAGGAGTGAGCAAAACTCTGGGAAAACAAGACAGTAATGGGACTGCCAGGTATTCGTATCAGGCCCTAGCAGGTCCTCCCTTTGCCAATTGAACAAAAAGATGAGGGGTGGCCATTTCTATAGCATGTATTCTCTTTTACCAAAGCGTGTCAGTGGTGACTGTGAGTGTAACGTGGGAAACTGAGTCACACATTCACCCCAGTTGGGCAGGATCCCTTGTGCCTTCATTTCAGACAGAATTTGCATCATTTATAACATCGGGATATCGTTTCCTGCCTGGCAAGTAATCACAGACAAGGAAAAATCGATAAACAGTCCTGAGTGACCTAACTTCAGTAACTCGCTCTCCTGGTTTGGTCTCCTTTGCTGGTTTCCAGAGCAATTTGTGTACCTTTTTCTGATTCTTTTTTCAGAAGAGGCTTTTCTGAAATTTAACCCGTTTACACTGGGCCAAATTTTGGAAAACCTCATCTTTTGGAACAGGTTTCAGGGCTTCAGAAAGAGCGCATCTGCTCTTCTGAAAAACATTTCAGAAGAGCAGATGCGTTACCTAGACGTGGCAGAGCTTTTCTGGGATACTTCTGGGATCCCGGAAAAACTCAGTAGTGTAGACACAGCCTCACTGTGAGGCCTGCAGATACACACAGACAGACAGATCTTCTAGGACACAAGAATCAAAGCATCACCTTAAAAAAGTGATTTTTATTAGCAAAAGATAAACATGATGAAGCATCTTCGGTTGTGAGATGTTGTAGCACAACTAAGGAAACCAAATTACAACAGAGAGAAAATCTCTGGGGACAACTCTTAGATGGTGAATGGGGGAGGGAGGCACAGATTCACACAGAGCAGTTCAAACCAATCCGCAAAAATAAAGAAAATTATCCTAATCATGTCTGGATACATTTTTCTTCTTTATTTACTCATGATCCTATCCGAGTTCAGTCCATTTCCATGCCCCGAATTCCTTGGGGCCATAGGAGTCCTGCCTGGGTTTAAATGATCCTTTATCTCTCAACTCCTGGCTTAACTCTCCCAACACACAAAGAAAACAGGCAAGATACTTATACAATTCAAATTTCACCCCTCTCTCTTGATTGAGTCTTCCATCCCCCTCCTTTGACAACACGCTTGCTAGCTATCTGAGTTTAACCTCTTAGTGACCGGGTACGGGCTAGTACTCCTCCTGTCCGTCACAAGAACCATCTGGAGTTTTTCCGTATTAAACTTCTGGTAGCAATTAGAAAAATTGCCCACAAGGAGGTGAATGATTTAGGAAAGATTTCTCATTTTCACCTCTTCGTTTTCTTTGACTTTTCAACCTTTTTTCCTCTAGAAAAATAAGGATGCTTCCTTGACCACGTTTGAATACGTAATGCACCTTAGATCTGGACAAAAGGTGCAAAACCTTGCACATTTAATCAAACGTTTATATTATTTTTGTGTATATTTATTTATTTCATATTTCTCTTCCAATTCTCCTGGCAGGTGTAGACCAAGTCGCATTTTATTCAACTGGCAAAGTAGCATTTTAAAAAACAAGGCTCTTCTGTCAAAGTTGAACGAAATGGCTGTAACTTTCCTTCTCTCCCACCCTTTTGACAAAATCCATTTTTAATTTATCGATTTTCAACAGTTCTGTGCAACGGAGACCTTTCCTAATGTTTTGATTAGGGCCCCCTTCACCTCTTTGTTCCTCAGTGTGTATATTATGGGGTTCAACGCTGGCGACACAATTATGTTCATGAGGGCAATTATTTGATTGCTCTCCGAGGTGGAGCTAGACTTGACCCCCAGGTAGGTGATGAGGGCCAGCCCGTAGAACAAAGTCACCACCATGAGGTGCGAGGAGCAGGTGGAGAAGGCCTTACGTTTCCCCTCTGCGGACGGTACCTTGAGGACGGTGGAGAGAATGCGGACGTAGGACAGGATTATCAATAGGAAAGGGCCCATGATGAACACAACTGTCACAGTCAAGACCATGATCTCGTTTTTCGATGTGTCGGAGCAGGCCATCTTCAGCACAGGTGGGATGTCGCAGAAGAAGTGGCGGATGCGATTGGAGCCACAGAAGGGCAGGCTGAAAATCCATGTAATCTGAGCTACTTCCACCGAGATGCCGAAGAACCAAGAAGCCACCGCGAGCTGTGCACATGCCCGGCCACTCATGATGGTGGTGTAGTGCAAGGGGTGGCAGATGGCCGCATAGCGGTCGTAGGCCATGGCTGCGAGGAGGCAGCATTCTGTGAGGCCCATGATGGTGATGACGTACATCTGGGCTGCACAGCCCGTGAGGGAGATGGTCTTTTCCTCCACCAGGAGGTGAACCAGCAGCTGAGGGACCACGCTAGAGGTGAAGCAGATTTCCAGGAAGGACAGGTTGACCAGGAAGAAATACATGGGGCTGTGGAGGAAGGGGTTCAGCTTAATCAGGAGGATAACAAGAAGGTTCCCCATCAGGGTGAGAAGGTAGATGACCAGCAGCAGCAGAAACAGAAGGATTTGCAGCTCGTGAAGGTAGGAAAACCCCACCAGGATGAGTACAGCGGAGCCAGTCTGGTTCTCTCCTGAGTCTCTGTTGGAATAGATCACCTGTAGGGATGAGAAAGCGAGATACGCTGGAGATGACACTGAGCCCTGCCAAACCCATGGAAGTGAATCCCACAATTACCTTAAAACCCGCTGTAATTTCGGTTCAATCGCCAGCAAGAGTAAACCATAGTATTTGGGGGGGATGCCAATGAAGCCACACCCACGGTCACCAAAGTGATTCCTCAAAAGCATGCGACTCCTGATCTCACTCGTCTCTCAGAGTAGTGACACTAATCCCAGCATTCCCATGGAAGTTGCAACTCACAGAAGTCGGGGCTGCTCACACAAGTTTGCTCCTGGTTTTGAGCTCAGTATATTTGAAGACTGAAAAGCAGAGAATCAGGGACTAAGGGTGTGTTTGGAAAAGAGAAGACTGGGAGGGTTTTCAGGGACCTAAAAGGGTGTCACAAGGAGATGGGAGAAAACTTCCTGGCCTCTGAGGATAGAACAAGAAGCAATGGGCTTAAACTGCAGCAAGGGAGATTTAGGTTGGAGAGTAGGAAAAAGCTTTCTGTCAGGGTGGTTAAACACTGGGATAAATTGCCAAGGGATGTTGTGGAATCTCCATCACTGGAGATATGTGAGAGCAGGTTGGACAGACACCTGGCAGGGATGATCTAGATGGTGCTTGGTCCTGCCGTGAGGGCAGGGGACTGGACTCGGCGACCTCTTGAGGTTCATTCCTGTTCTAGTGTTCTAGGATTCTATGCAAGCATGATTCTGGGAGGCATTAACTGGTGTGTTGTGAGCAAGACACGAGAAGTCATTCTTCCGCGCTACTCTGCGCTGGTTAGGCCTCAGTAGGAGTCTTGTGTCCAGGTCTGGGCACCACATATCAAGAAAGATGTGGAGAAATTGGAGAAGGTCCAGAGAAGAGGAACAAGAATGATGAAAGGTCCAGAGAACATGAGCTATGAGGGAAGGCTGAAAGAATTGAGTTTGTTTAACTTGGAAAAGAGAAGATTGAGAGGGGACATGATGCGGTTTTCTAAAAGGAGGAGGGGGAAAACTTGTTTTCCTTCACCTCTGAGGACAGGACAAGAAGCAATGGGCTTAAACTGCAGCAAGGGAGGTTTAGGTTGGACATTAGGGAAAAGTTCCTAACTGTCAGAGTGGTTAAGCATTGGAATAAATTGCTTAGGGAAGTTGTGGAATATTTAAGAGTAGGTTAGATAAATGTCTATCAGGGATGGTCTAGGTAGTACTGGGTTCTGCCATGAGGGCAGGGGTCTGGACTCAATGACCTCTCGAGGTCCCTTCCAGTCCTAGTATTCTATGATTCTAGACAGCATCCTTTTCTTGGCAGAAGCTACGCAATTTGAGCTAGGCAAATTGTGTAGCATATTCTGAGTCTAAGTTCAAAGACAAATTTCCAAATTTCCAAATAAGGCACTGTTCCATCAAATCCGTTAACCCTTGTGGAACGAGAGTTACAGGGATGCTGGAATAGTGGGTGCTTTTAAAAGTACAGCATTGTTACTGTAGGATACTTCCAGTTTTCTGAAATAGCAACTCTGTATAGAGGTACCCTGAGGCTGAGAAGCAGGGGCTTGAAAAACAGGGCTTAACAAAGCCCTGGTTGAGATGATTGAGTTGAAGGGCACATCTAGACAACAGAATTTTGTCGACAGAAGCTTTGTCAACAGATACTGTCGACAAAGCTTCTGTCGACAAAGAGCATCTAGACTACATTCAGTTCTGTCGACAAAGCAAGCCGACATGACAGTCGACATGACAGTGTAGACGCAAAGGACAGTGTAGATGCAATAATGTCAACTCTGTTGACAAAAGGCATTATTCCTCATAGAATGAGGTTTACCACCATCGACAAAACTGCAGAGTTCTGTTGACGTTATGTGTAGACCCAGGTATAGTTTTGTTGACAAAAGTCCACTTTTGTTGACAAAACCCTGTAGTCTAGACACAACCTTGGGGTTGGTCCTGATTTGGGCAGGGGGCTGGACTTGATGACTCCTGTGGTCTCTTCCAGCCCTAGGATTCTATGATGTATCTTGCATGCAGAACAAAATTTATTCTGCACATGGTTGGATGGAGTCCATGATTCTCACCAAACTGACTTTACTGAGGTCCAAATACAAGACCCGCCTCAGAAAACAACATTAACCCCCAGATTCAAAGGAGGGAGATGAGGGTTGGAGAACTCAGGGGGAAAAGACGAGAGGAGAGAGGCAAAAAAGGAAGAGGCAAAAAACCAATGCCATCCACACAAGACCAAAAACAGCAAAGTGAACTCTGGCATGGTGGTTGGTTCTCATCGGTCACTCTCAGAAAACTGAGAGCCAGAGTTCCCTTCCATGCAAGTTATCATGATGCCCATCAAGCCGAGTTCTTACAGGGCCCCAGGAGAGGTACCCGAGTTGAATTCAGGACAGATTCAGAGACTAAGAACTACTGTGTGAACAGACAGGCGGCCAGGGGGCTGGAGGTACTAGATAGATACACACACACACATACACACACACACACACAGCATTTGGGCTAAGACACAGATGAAGGCTCTCAATGCCAGTAGGAATGATGGGATACAGAACATGATTTCACCCTGGTTGTAGACTGGGACACGAGGCCAACAGACCTCCTTAGGCCAACAGCCGGGGGCTTCGGTCCTTCAGAGGTAACCTACCTTGTTTGCAGAGA